TCTTCATGATGGCTTCTCCCTTTCTCTGTTCTCTTCCCCCCCTTTATATATCTTTTGCATAAGGCGGGAACCCTTTGTCCCTCTGGGTTTCCACCCCCCCCCCTCCCTCACTGGAAAAGCACCAGGTTAAAGATGGATTCCAGTTCAGGTGACATGATCACATGTCACTGCAAGACTTCATTACTCACTTGCCAGCACACACATATACAGGAAGACTCACAGGTAAATACAGCCATCTGCAGACAATGGGAGTCATCAAGATTCCAAACCATCCTTAATGGCCCACACTTTACATAATTACAATAGGCCCTCAGAGTTATATTTTATATTTCTAGTTTTAGATACAAGAGTGGTACATTTATACAAATCGGATGATCACACTCAGTAGATTATAAGCTTTGTAATGATACCTTACAAGAGACCTTTTGCATGAAGCATATCCCAGTTACGTTATATTCACTTATTACCATATTTTCTCTAAAACTATCCGTTACATTATAATGACTTATTATCAAGTTTTTATAAAACCATATAGACTGCACAATGTCACACCATGAATGTACCCTTTTCATGCTGCAGATCAAAGAGTGCTATGCAGCTTTTATTATACAAGGAAGAGGTAAAAATGAGGTTATTTTTTCTAGTGTATACAGTGAAACTGTGTTTCTTCTGCATGCACCTTCAAGATACCAGCAGTTATGCTGCTTTGTGTGTCCCAGGCAATGTGATATACTCCTGGGGGAATTCTGCGCTACTGTGCACGTGCATAATTAATGAGCCATATGAGCCTATTTTTAATTTTTTGTGTAGAAAAAAGCTTCTGTTGAAATGTTGCTGCGGTTCCTCTAGACTCAGACTCATAAGGGCTAGTGGGGGAGGACAGACTGGGGCAGGGGTTGAATGGGAGTGGAGGCACAGGGCCACATGGGGGAGGAGGGTGCAGGGCCACATTGTGATGGGGCAGGGGATGCAGAGCTACATACGGACGGGAGTGGCTGGGTGGGGGCACAGAGCCACATGGAGATGGGGGAGTGGGTGTCTGAGTGAGGGTGGATGGATACATGTGGACGGGGTGCAAGAACATATGGAGACAAGGGCAGATGTGCCGAACTGAATGGGAGAGGCTGGGGGGCGGGGGTCAGCCAGGGTCTGCATGGGGGAAGCTCCCTAACAATCCCTCCCCATCCCCCAAAGAAACTTGTTCTATACTTTTCCCACCCATATCCAACAACCCTCCAAGTTCACACCCAGGCTCCTTCCCAGCAATTTACTTCCCTCTCCCTCAGCTTTTCCGTTACCCTTGACTCCCCCAAGCCTTTGCATTGCTTCTGAGGGGTGCGGTAAATATACTTCTGTATTGTAGAATAAGTGAATTATTACTCAGAGTTCTGTATTAACATGCCTAGTAAGGAATTTATTTGTCAAAAAACATTTCCTGAATCTTTTTTGTTGTCTGTATTGTTACAGTGTTTGACAGGTATTTCGAAATAAATGACCAAAAATAATTGAAACTGGTGTGATTATAGTGTATTATTTTGACGAATAAAATATGCAGAATTTTAAAATACTGTGCACAGAATTTTTATTTTTTTGTTGCAGAATTTTTATTTTTTTGGCATAGAATTCCCCCAGGAGTAGTGATAGCAGCAGCAACACTAACCCATCTATGGGTTTTCCACACTGCAAGGGAAACTGTAAAAGCAGTTTGTGGAGGGGGAAAGTCTTTTCCAGCATCTCCTAGCCTCCAGTGCCAGTTCCAATAGGGAAAAGATGTGACAGAGACAGTGGCTGAGGGGCTTTTGTGCATTTTAAGGGAGAACATGGCCTTTGCTATGCAAAATAACTCCGACACCAGACTTATTGCTTAAAGGGCACAATCTGCATACAACCAGTTTATGAGGAGAAGCGACTGAATTGCCTTGACTGAACAAAGTGTTGCCATAATTTAGGGAAGATATCAAGAGTTCCAAGTAGAACACTCAGGGGAAGGCAGATGGCAAAATCCACAGACATTACAAGGCAGATGTCAACAGGCCAGAGTGAGTCTGTGTAAGGGTAAGGACAGAGCTCCAATCTGCTACTGCCAGTCCCCACACAGAAAGCTCAGAGGAGATAAAGAGAGGAAATAAGTAAGCATGAATCAGCCCTATGACAGTCAGTGAGTAGGGGATGGGAGGTATACTTAATACTCCTATTTTTGAATATATCCTTTAGGGAATGTAGTAAAGGCTTCTTGGACTCACTTCATCACCAGCCCTCCCCCCTCACCCCACCTGTTTGCAAAGTTCTGTTAATTCTTTGCTGTTTGCCCTAAATCAAATACTTAGACTCTCTTTCTACAATAATTAAGCAAAACTCCAAGACAACTCAGCATGCACCAGCCACCATGGAGTACTCCCTTTAAAGAAAACCACCTCACTATTCCATGATAGTTGTCTAAAATTCTGAAACATGATGCTGCAGACCATTACTGTAGTTTTGCTTATAAAAACAAAAAGCTCCCCTACAACCAGGAACCCATGTACCCCTCAGTAGCTTGGGGGTGGGAAGCCCTACACATAGGTGGGGGAACAGAGGCAGAGAAAAAAGTCAGAGTCTGCTTGGCTTTTTTTAAACTCCCATCAAAGAGGATAATACAACTGTGCCCTCAGCATGGCAACATGTGCCCACACAAGAGAACAAACCACTCCCTTGGGCAGGGTATGCACCTGGTCGGTCTAAATGAGAGAGGGAGAGCAGACTGAACAGCGGCAATTCCCATGCAGGGAGGAGAACCTGGCTCTGCCCTTCCCTGCCAGCTAGCAAACCAGGTTTGCACCAGAAACAGATTATTTCCACCCCCATCCACCCACAGCAAGAAAGGTGTGACCAGTGAGAAAAGTCAGTGTGTCACAGTTCCCTCCCTGGTCTGCTCATGGGGTGGTGCAGAAACTACACCTCACCCCTTACTCAGGACACAGTGAACATTTGCAGCTTAGCCTATGGCATTCAGCATACCTCTGGCCTTTTTGCCCACTTAAATCACTGTATAATCATCTGCAAAACTAGGGTTACCATCCGTCCAGGTTTCCCTGGACATGTCCGGCTTTTTTAGCTTTAAATGGCCGTCCGGGGGGGATTTCTAATAAGGTAGAAATGTCCGGGATTTCCCCCTTCCCCTCATGCAGAGTGCGGTGCGGCTGATTGGACGGCTGTGCCTGATTGAAAGCCGCTCGCAGCCACTGGGGCCTCTAGCAGCCAGAGTCACTCCCCCTCCACCGCTCCTTCCTCCCCTGCAAAACAGAGCCTTATTTGTTTGGCTGCATGTGGAGCCCGCAGCTCTCCCTTGGCCTGGGTGGGGGGCCAGCCAAGGGACAGGGAACGGGGGGGTTAGATTGGTCAGGGATTCTGGGGGGGCTGTGAGGAGAAGGGGGTGTAGAGAGCGGTTGTGGCAGGCAAGGGACGGGGAACGAGGGGGGTTAGATTGGTCAGGGATTCTGGGGGGGCTGTGAGGAGAAGGGGGTGTAGAGA